TGAGCATGTCCCTGTGTGCCCAGGGAGCTCCGTGCAGACAGGAGGCCTCTGGAAAAGGTGCCCTGGAGGGGATGCTTGAGTGAGCAGGCAGTCCCCTGGGGAGAAGGGGCCTCACGGGGCAGCTTGGGCAGAGGTGCTGGGTGCTGGGGTGCACACAGAAGGGGACCTTCTGAAGAGCATGCCATATGGTGGGGAGGTGGGGGCTTCTGGGGTCAGTCCCAGGCATTTGCAGGATCAGCAGTCTGGCGGGGGGAGCTGGGCGGGACAGGGAGTGTTTGCTGGGGCAGGGAGGGGCCCACAGAGGCCGTGGAGGGTGTGCAGACCCATGCTGCACAGCTGAGTCGGGGAGAACAGGTGAGAAAGCCCCCCCCCCCACCGCCCTGCCCCGTCTTCTCTCAGCCTCTGCCCCTGCTGGGCTGTGTGCTGGGCACTAAGTGGAGTTGGAAGCCATTTTCAGAAACCCACTCTGCACAAGGCAGAACAAAGGGATGTGCAGACAGGATTTTGATCTGGAATTTAAAGGGTGACTGTTTGGGGGTCCTGCTCCCCGCAGACCATCCCTCCCAGCCCAGCCAACTCACCTGCTACCCGCCACAGAGCCTCTGATGAAAACGCAGATGTCCTTAGGAAGGTGGAATCAGCCCAGAGGGCCTGTGTGCTGACCCCATGTGCTGACTCCTTCCTGACCCAGTGCTCTCTCCTCTAAGTGTCCCCTTCAAAGGCCAACCCTACACATGCAGGTTCTAGACAGAACGGCCCCAAGCAGCGGGGGCTGAGAGCGGCTGCCCACTGCGAGCTGCCCACAGGCGGCCTAGCGTGGCTGTGGAAGGGCTACGGAGTGACCCCCGGCTAAGGGAAAACAGGGCTGGAGCTTCCTCCCTAGGTCTCTGGACTTGGTCCCTAAAGCCTTTGCTTTCTGCCGCGGGCACTGGGGCCTCCACCGGGCCTACCCAATGCCCAGCCCTTGGCCTGGCCTGCCCAAGAGTCACCAAGGGCTGGCAAGCCTGGACAGAGGGGCAGGGTGGTGGCATGAAGGAGGACAGGAGACCGTCCAGCACCCTCACTGGGCTGAGCTGAGTGACCACGAGCTGGAGGGAGGGGTGCTCCAGGCAGGGGGCTAACCTCTGTGTCCCCTTCCCCTGGGGTGCTGATCTTCAGGGGTCCTCCAGGATCTGCGCCCGCTCCCTGCCGGCGTCATGCACACCACCAGCCCCGACCCTCCTCCTGCAGGCCCCAGGCCAGTGTCCCCACTCCTAGCTCCTTCCCCCACAGGACAGCCTGCTGAGTGCTCCCCAGCACTGTCCCTCGGTCTCGCCAGCTGTAGGGCTTGCTCACACCTTTGTCATTCTGTCTTTTCTCAGTGCCACTCAGGGTTTGCTGGTCCAGGCAGCAGGTAACCCCTGCCCTGCCCCCCCAACACTGGCCCTGCTCCCACTCCCTCTCACTGGAACTCAGCCAGGAGCCTCTGAGATGGAACCACAGCTGCCTGGTCAAGGGGTCCTCACAGGCCGGAGCCACAGGTCAGAGCCCACGGATTTCTCCAGAGCCAGGGCCCAGAGCGCACAGGTGTGAGAGGGGCGTGGGCCCCCTGATGGCACGTCTCAAGCCAGGCAGTTGCTGGGAGGGAGGGGACTAGATGAGCCCGGAGAGCTAGGGCCTGGCGGGGGCAGGGGATGTTGCACGTCATTAAGCACCCACAGGCTCACACCCATCCTAGGTCCGGGGTAGAGTGGGGAGCACGTGCTGACCCGGCCTCCCTCCCGGGCATCTGCCAGGAACCCCAAGCCTCCCTGGGGCCGGCACTGGCATACAGCCCATGTGGTGTCCCGGGAGGCAGGAGCTCCAGAGAGTCTTTGCTTTGCAAATGCTGAGCCCAGGGGCCCTGGACCTTCCCCTGCAGTTTCACAGTTCATGTTGGAAGCATGGGTTTGGTTCTGTCCCCACCTGGAAGGTCTGGGTCTGCAAGACTGGTTTTGTTCCGTCTGACCACCCTGCAGGCTCGGACGGAGCCCTGCCCCATGGGTTATGAGGATGATTGTCCCATCTCATGAGGAGGCTGGTCACCGGCCTGGCTGGGAGCAGAACCGGCCAGGACTCCGCTGGAGGGGCTAGAGCGCAGTAAAGAGGATGGACTGGGGCCAGGTTGCTGGAGTCCTGCCCTGTGACCTTGGGGAGGCTGCCTACCTCCCCCGTGCCTCAGCGTCCTCATCTGTAAAGTGGGAATAACCGCAGCACCACCACATGGCCTCAAGGTGGAGAGTACAAAGTCTAATACTTGGAGTACTTAGCATAGCACTGGCCTCAAGTAAGGACTCTGGAAGACTTAGTTGTCACCAACACCATTACCCCCGTCCCCTCCGTCACCACCACCGTCCCCTCCGTCACCACCATCACCTCAGCCGCCGGCACCCAGACGCAGATGTTGAAACACATGGGGGAACGTTCTGGAGGCGCAGCATGAGGGGAGTGAGCTGAGTTCTGCGGGTGTCTCCTGGGGGTGTCCTGATGGCTGGGTCACCCCCCTTGCCGCGTCTTTTCAGCAATCACCAGCGCATGACCAGCAATGAGAGGCCCATAGAAGTTCAACTTGCCTGAGGCCCCAGGCGGCCTCCTGGGTTTTCATTCTCCTGACACCTCATTAACCTCATTAGACATCTTCTGTGTTGTGGTTCTTGTCAAACCTCACACCAGAAAGGGGGGCTTCTGTTTGCTAAAACATCATGATATTTCACAGCTGAACTAGTTGTAAGTTACCCAACCTGGGGGTGATTTGGAGAAAAGCCTCTCAGAGCTCACAGGGGATGTTCTCACAGCCCACCTCGCCGAGGGCTCTGTCATGCCTCCCGCTCTCAGCCCCCAAGCGTCCTGAGCCCCCTCCAGGACAGGCGCCCCCCTCGCCCATGCCTAGAGGGTCAGGTGGGCGGGCGGTATCGCAGGGAGAGGCCTGTGCTGGTCCTTCGGAGCCAAGTCCAGGGAACAGCATCCCGGGCACACACCAAACCTCGCTGTGGTGACCGCAGAAGGCCTTGGGCAAGCCTGGGTGGTTCTGTCCCATCTGCCCACTCTGATGCCTGTGGGTGCACATGGCCCTCCACCTGCCCCATATAGCAACACAGGGATGGGGCCTGCTGGGAGAATGGGGATGGGACCCCACTGGGAGCACAGGGATGGGGGCCCCATGGGAGTATAGGATGGGGGCCCCACTGGGAGCACGGGGATGGGGGCCCCATGGGAGTATAGGATGGGGGCCCCACTAGGAGCAAGGGGATGGGACCCCACTGGGAGGATAGGATGGGGCGTGGCACCATTTCTTCCCACTCAGGAATGCTGGGAGGTAGGGGCTCTGCTTCCCATGAGCCTCTGGCTCCCAAGGACATGGCTAGCTGTTTTCAGCCCCATAACATGCCTTTCTGTGCACTAGGAAATATGCAGCCCCAAGCCCGTGAGACCCTCCTGGCATCCTGCCCCATGGGGATGGTGCAAACAGCCAGCCTCTGTCCGGACACCCGAGAGGGCAGACGCCAGGAGCCCCAGTGGCCTGCACACCCACGACCTGCCCCGACCCAGTCCAGCAGCACTGCCAGCCCCCCTGACATGGCCATGACCTGCATTCGACCCGGCACGGGGGCCCCACCCTGCCCCCACCCTGCCCCCCACCCTGCAGGAGCCCAGGTCTGGTCCTGCTCCTCTCAGCAGGCAGGGCGGCCCCCCCGCCTGACGACCACCTGGGGTACCTGAACGCACCTCTGCCCACAAGGCCTAGGGCCACGTCCTGGCCACACTGCCACACTGTGGGTTGCTTCTGAGACACGGGTGGGGAGGCAGGAGTGTTCCTCCTGGGCTAGACGGTGGCCGGTGTGGGGGATTCCGAAGGGCACCGGCTCCTGGCAGCACGGGTGGCCAGTGGGAAGAGAAGGGGCCGCAGCCAAGGGCCAGGCCTGACCCTCCTTTCAGGCCTGGGTCTCTGAGGAATCCAAGGTGCCTGGTCAAGATGGGCGGAGACGCCCCAGACATCAGCCTGTGGGGTGGCCCTGCCCCGGCCCTGGGCACAGGGCATCTGCCCTCCTGGGTGGGTGTGGGCCTCCGGAGAGCCCAGAACCAGGTCACGGCTGACACGAGGCGCCACCTGCAGCAAAACTTGGGTCATGGCACCGAGGCCTGCAAGGTACACGGTGCCGGGCCAGGGCTCTGCTCCCAAGGCAGGTCCTGGGTGGGGACACCTGGCCGTGGCCCCACAGCCCACACCATCCCACCTCCTAGCACAATCTCTGCCCCCACCCCCGGCTCCCGGCCCCTCCTCCAGGTCCTCCTCCCTCTCCCTTCCCAGGGCCGCTGGGCAGAGAAGGAGGTCCTAGGACACACAGTCCTGGCCATCAGGCACAGAGGGGCTCACTCAGAAACCAAGGAAGAAGGACATGACCACGCAGCAGAGGGGAGCACGAGGGGGTCGGTCAGGGGCCAGGGAGGGCACGCCCACCCCAGACACTCCAAATCTACAAGGGAACCAACCACAAGGCCCAATCAGGAGCAGGGCCAAGCTAGGATGGGCCTCTAAAACTGACCCCCCAGCTCGCCTGCGCACCTGCAAAGTAGTAGGAGTCTGGGTTAGTCATCCCATTCAAGCTCGCGGTAAGTGAGGGACACCACATCATGGCAGAATGTTATTCCAACAGCCCCTTCTTAGGAGAAGCGATAAAGAAACCATCGGCTAAGCTAAGGGAGGGGAAGAACCGGGTGGGGAGTGCCCCAGGAAGACGGCCGCTGCCCCACGCTCCCTCCCCTTCAGGCCAGTCCACCCGCCTCCCCTGCATGGGGCAGGGGCCAAGCTCTAGAGGCGGTGTGGGGTCCCCAGGTGAGAGATCAGGTGGTGCTCGTCCCCGCAAGGGCAGCGGGAATAGTATGCCAGGGTCTGGTGGGGGGTCACCGGACCCCAATGTAGGCCTGGTCTAACTGCCTCCCTCCCACCCAGAGGCCAAGGAGCTGAGGTCAAATCAAGGACATTTTCGAGGTTAAGGCCTGGAATTTATTTAACACTCAATCAGACGGTCCTGCAGAGAGTAAGTTGGGCAGGGTCTGACTGGCCTGGGTGAGGGCGGGCTGCGAAGGGCGGACAGGGGCAGAGGTGTGCAAGCAGGAAGCGTGAGGCCAAAGAAGAGCAGTGCCAGGTGCAGGGAGGGGACCCATGGACTTCTGCCCCCTCCCAACTGAAACGCATGAGTCAGTGGACATGAGGGTCACATGGGTGACCAGGGCGGCAGGGGTGGGGGGGACAGGGGCTGACACCAAAACATGTCGTCAGGCGGATCTGCAGAGACGTGGGCACGGGAGTGAAAACCGCATGGCTTGTTTACCGTATTCTCTCCTTTAATCCAGCTTAAACCTGGCGCAGCCTCTGAAGCAGCCACGCAGCTGAGGCCGTGAACAACCGCCCGGGGGTGGCGTCGGACCCGTCCCCTCCCCCCCAGACGCTTGGAAGCGGGCACTTGGTGGGCTCACGAGCTGCTAAACCAACTTGTCAGGTCTGAAGACTTTCGGTCAGCACAAGTGATACTCGCTCCTTAGCATCTGTCAGCTCTCCTCTTACTACTTCATGTTGAACAGTGTATCCCAAGGCCGAGATGCAGGTGCGTGGAGCGGCAGGTGTCCAGCGAGAGCGGTCAGCTGGCGGCTTCTCGTCCAGCTCAGTCCCAGCCTCAGTTTCCTCACTTCGCCCTGCAGCTTTCTAGCCTTTTGGGAGAAAGGGAGGGGGTAAAAGCTATCCAGGCCGGCAGGGCCCGCGGCGAAAGCATGCCTCCGGTGCAGACCCGCGGACTCTTGCAGGGGCGAGCAGCACTCTGTCCCCCTGGCCAGAGCCCGCCTTCCCCGAGGGGCCTACTCACCGCGGGATGCTCTGCAATGGAGCCGGCTGAGCGCGCCCTCCGGCCCGTGGAGGACGGCGGCCTCTTGAGGTCTACCCCCGGGCCACTCCTCTTGGGAGTCCCACTCGGGCCCCACCTGTGACCTCTGCCTACAGCTGTCTGAGTGAACACCAGGTGATGGACGGATGAAGGCTCTCCTGCTCACCATCCCTGCCCATGGTCCCACCCGAGACTCACACCTGCCCTCGGAGGGCAGGGCTTCAAGTGCCACCCTCCCGCCACAGACACAGCAACGGGACCAGGGGTCCCTAATAGAGTTCCTCGCCAGTCTGCTGGGCCCAGGAAGTGGGACAGAGCGGCCAGCATCAAGGAGCAGGCTCTTTCCTGCCTCTGCCCTCAGAGACGTTGGCCAGTGGGAACTTGGCAGTGCTGGGCCCATCCCATCCCCAAGAAGGGCCCGGCCTTTGTGCTCCCCCATGTTCCTCAGTTCTACCTCCCTGGGGCATGACCTGGACCCCACCTCCAGCCCAGGCACCTGAGTCCCCCCATACAGACCCATCACAACAAGGGGCGAAATGAACGTTCAGCTTATGTCACTACGACTCAGTAAATACTACAGCTGACTGTTGCACAACGTCCAAACCTGCCTGGTCCAAATTCCGTGTGTAACTATTTACTCCCCCAAACTTTACTAACAGCCTGCTGTGGGTCAGAGCCGCGGTCGGCTAGCATGTGCTGTGTGTGCTGCGTGGATTCTTCCAGTAAAGTCAGCGCGAGAGGACACGGTCGCTCCGGAAATCACATTTACAGTGCCGTCCGGGACGATGCGCCCCGCGGAGGGCACACCTGTGTTGCTCACGGGGGGACTGCACTTGCTGCTGATCTAGCAAGTGTCCACCGGTGACATCTTCTTTCCCGTAGAAAGTTCTTCGTGGGTTAAGAACTGCTCCGTCGAAAGTCTTGTCTTCGACATACTTGTCACGGAGTCCTCAATGTCCTCTCCCCTTGGTCAGACGCTCAGCCTCCTCTGTCTGCCTGGGAGACACCCTGCAGCCTCCTGGCTGCACTCCAGCCTGGCGGCCTGCACAGCGGGCTGTCTGGGGGAACCCGGGCACTCTCTTGGGTCAGCTTCCCTTTTTCCAGAACACTTACTTCTCTTTCCTGCTCTGCTGTCTTGTTTTGGAGAAATGCGTTCTGCGGTCACTTCCCAAGAAAAGCTGCGTGGAACGTGCCTGAGACCCCGCCCGTGAAGGCACCCCCCCTCCTCTGTAGGCACCTGGCACCCGGCCTGATGGTCGGAGCTCAGCACTCCCCCCCGATGGCAGACCACTCTGCCCCTTGGTGAGGAGTCCACTCCGTTCCTCTCTCCTGCCCTTCCCGTGTGCCCTATTCCCTCCCAGCAATCTCAGGTTTCAGTTTCAAATTAGACTTTTCAGAAAATGAAGAGGCTTTATTCCTGTAGAGCTGTCTTCATCCCCACCAGCTGGGACATTTGTCACAATCCAGGAGCGACACGGACCCACTGTCATCGCCCAGGGTCCGTAGTGCCCACCAGGGCTCACTCTGGTGTTGTGCATTGTACCAGTTTAGACAGACAGATGGTGACAGGTGTCCATCACTGTGCAGTCACAGTGGTTCTGCTGCCTGAGTGTCCTCCCCGCTCCGTCTGTCCTCCCTCTTGGCAACCACTGATCCTCCCACATCTGCAGAGTTTTGCCTTTTCCAGAAAGTCATACAGTTGTCACCTCAGATTGGCTCTCTCAGTAATATGCATTTGAGGTTCCCTCGGGTCTTTTCATGGCGTGATAGCTCATTCCTTTTTGGACTCAGTGACATTCCATGGGATCCATAAACAGTTTGCTTACCCACTCACCTACTGAAGGACATCTCAATTGCTCTTGGGTTTGCTAACTATGAGTGAAGCTGCTATGAACATTCGTGAGCAGGTTTTTGCGTGGACCTAAGTTTTCAGCTCCTTCAGGTAAATGCCAAGGAGCACAACTGCTGAATCTCAAGGTAAGAGTACATTCAATTTTGTAATAAATCACCGAACTGTCTTCCGCAGTGCCTGCACCATTCTGCATCCCCACCAGCAATGAACGAGAGTTCTTGCTGCTCCACATCCTCACCAGCAACCGGTGTGGTCAGTGGCTAGGGTTATAGCCACTCTAATACATGTGAGTGGTAGCTCTGTTTTAATTTGCAATTCCCTCCTGACATACAATACTGAGCATCTTTTCCTATGCTTAGCGTCTCTATATCTTTTTTGGTGAGGTGTCTGTTCAGATCCATGGCTCATGTTTTAACTGGGTTGTTTGTTTTTCTTTCCATATTTTGGATAGCAGTCCTTTATCAGATGTGTGTTTTGCAAATATTTTCTCCAAGTCTCTGGCTTGTCTTACTCTTTTCACAGAGAAAAATTTTTAAATTTTAAGGAAGTCAGGTTAACAACTTTTTCTGTCATACCTTTGGTGTTCTATGTAAAAACTCCCTGCCAACCCAAGGTCACCTACACTTTCTCCTATTTTATTTCCTAGAAGTTTTGCAGTTTCACATTTCACATTTAGGTCTGTGATGCATCTTGAGTTAACTTTTGTGAAGGTGTGAGGTCTGCTCTAGATTCATTATTTTGCAAGTGTTCCAGCACCATCTCTTGAAGAGACCATCTTTGCTCCACTAGGTCGGGTAATGCCAGTCCCCCAACCTTGTTCTTCGCCTTCAGTATTTGTGGTGATTCTGGGCCTGTGTCTCCTCTCCATCTAAACGTTAGCATCAGGTTGTCGATACCCACAACATAACTTGCTGGGATTTTGATTGGGATTGTGTTGAATCTCTAGTCTTTCCATCCATGAACATGGGATTCCTCTCATTCGTTTAGTTCTTCTTTGATTTCACTCATCAGAGTTTTGTTTTTCTCATATGGATCCTGTACATATTTTTTTAGATTTGTACCTAGCACCATTTTTTGGTGCTAATGTAAATGATATGTTCTTAAAATTCAACTCCCACTTATTTGCTGATGTATTGGTAAGCAATTGGCTTTTATATATTAACCTTGGATCCTATAACCTTGCCATGACCACTTATTAGTTGTAGGAGTTCTTTGGTCAATTCTTTTGGATTTTCTACATAGACAATTATGTCATCTGAAAACAAAGACAATTTTAGCTCTAGCTTCTTAACCTGTATATCTTTTCCCTTTCTTGTCTTGTTGCAAAAGCTAGGACTCCCAGTATGATGCTGGACAGAAATGTTCAGAAGGGATGTCCCTGCCTTGTCCTTGATCTTCAGGGGAAAGGGTAGTTTCTAGTTTCTCACCATGAAGTATGATGTTCACGGTAGCTTTTGTACATGTTCTTTATCGAGATGAGGAAGTTCACTCTATTCTTAGTTTGCTAAAAGCTGTTATCACAAATAGGTGCTGGATTTTGTCAAATGTTTTTTCTGCATCCACTGACATGATCGTGTTATTTTTCTTCTTTAGCATTATATAAATTGATCTTCAAATGCTGAATCACCCTTGCACACCTGGGATAAATTCCACTTGATCATGGTGTATAATTCTTTTTATATATTGTTAAGTTTGATTTGCTAATATTTTATTGAGGATTTTTGCATCAATTTTCAGGAGAGATATTGGTCTGTAGTTTTCCTCCCATGTAACACCTTTGTTCTGATTTAGAGTAATGCTGGCCTCACAGAATGAATTACGATTTTTTCCCTCTGCCTATGTTTTCTGGAAGAGATTATAGAGAGTGGGTATAATTTCTTCCTTAAGTGTTTGATAGAACTCACCAGTGAACCCAGTGGAAAATTATTACTGATTCACTTTCTTTAACGGATATCAATCTATTCCAATCATCTATTCCTTCTTGTATGAGCTTTGGCAGATGGTGTCTTTCAGGGAACTGGTCCATTTCAAGTTAGGTTTGTGAGCACAGAGTCGTTCCTAACACCAAACAGACTTTTCACTCTCCCACAATGTGAAGCTTGAGACACAGATGTTTAGAAGTCGTGGTGGAGTTTGGGGTGTTTAAGGAGGAGGTTACAGCTGTAGACAACAGATTTGGGAAGAATAAAGCTCACCTGAAGGCAGGTACAGTTCTCTGGGCTGGGAAGGAAAAGATTCTGAGAAGAGGGGAGAGTCTGATGGGGGGGGGGTCCCTATGACATGGCCCAGGCCTTTCGCTTGCACTCCCACCTTCCCCGTCCTGCCCGGGGTCCACGGAGAGAGGGGACAATGAGCCCTCCGACAGGCAGTGCTGAGCCACTGCATCGGGGGTGAGACTCGCAGACCAGAGCCCAGCCGGCCGGGGAGAGCAGGCGTGTTCTCCTGCACTGTGAGCAGCAAGCGCACAGAAACATCAGGGTCAGCCTACACAGACTCTCTGAGCTCGGCCATTCTGGGGAGGACAGCGGGTTCCCTCCACCGGCTGGGTAGGTACCTATGCGTCCTTCAGGGCGGAAAGCTGCCTTCCTGACCACGGCACCACTCTCATGACCCCAGTCATTTCTGCACACACAGCGGGTGCACACCAGTACCTGCGAACAGACAGGCACTGGGGGGTCAGCCTGGGCCCGGCTGCGGCCAGGCCCTTTCACGGCCCCGCCAGGCTGTGTTGGACACGAGACGTGGGCGAGGACCCCACAGACACGTCCCTGTGTCGACTGATCAAGTGGTGGCACAACATGTCCGTGGGCTCACGTGCCACGGAAACACCTTCCTGCCCTCTAACCATGCTCCGGGCACACCCTCCCCATGAGGCCCAGGAAATGCTCCCCATCACGGGAGAGAGCACACGCGTGGCAAGTCGCCTTGGATTTCCCCCAGAACAGTCAATTTTTACACACGGCCCACAGATACTTACAATCTCCAAATCCTGCGCAGCCTGCCTGATTTCGAGTGGCTCCGTCCCCTGGAGCCCTCTTCTGCATTTGTGTACTTTCTGAATGTGCTGTTTTAGGTTTTCTTCTAGATGCCCCGCTCGGAAGGCACTGAGGAGACAAAGGGTGAAGGAAAGGATTTTACACATCAAGTCGAGTCTCAGAAACTCCTCTTCCAACAGGGGAGAGAGAATTTTCCTTTTTCCTCCAGGCCACACTGCGGTCCCGGGGCTCAGGGGCTGTCACGACGCGGTGACGACGCATTGATGGTGGGGCCACGAGAGGCCATGAGAGGCCACCTGCTCCCCCTCCAGGCAGCAGCTCAGACAGGCCCAGGTGGTTAGAAGCTGCGAGAACACACACTATGTTTTAAACTTCAAATCCAGGTAAGACATGACACATTCAGGACAATGCACAGAAAGCCACGTGCAGGGGAAGGTCTTTGTTTTCAAAGGAAATACACAGTTGTAATCAATCCTTAAACAGGATGTATTAAATTAGGATTTTAGATGTACTTTCTCTGCCAACATCAGGGCTTTGGGCTAATATATATTCTTTGCTTTTAGAACAAGGAGGCTCAGAACAGCAGAGCATTCTGGAAGGGTGCGTGGGAGGGCCGCAGTGCCCTAGCATGCGCGCTGGCCGTGGAGTCTGGGGTGAGTCTGCTGGGACTCCCGGAAGACCCCAGCCCCACACCTGCAGCAGGCTCTGCGTTGGCTTCGTTCGCTCCTCCCAGCAGCCCCCAGTCCTGCCCCACACAGACTCCAAGTGTCCGCACCTCTGACCCTGGTTCTCGGTAAAGCCCTGTCTACAGGGTGGTCAGAGGCCAGGGGCTTTCTGACAGTGACGCTCATGAGCTGGGAGGAGACATTTGCTGTCCATGTTCATCTAAGCCATTCCACGTGGCTGGGGGTTCATCCAGTGTGCGGACCTGCAAGACTGTCCCCAAGTGTTCTAGGCACGAAGGAGCAAGGACTCCCCAGAAAAGAACAGCCCTTTGCCATTCACATGTCACACCATGACGACCTTCCTCCAGGCCTCTCAAACCACGCTTGGTCTCCAGAGCGCTGAAACACACAGCGGTGGGCAGGGCCAGCAGGTGCAGGCCAGGTGGCCAGGCCGGTCCTCCCATGAGCCTGGGAGTCCCCCACCCACACCCACAGCTCGCTTCCACTCAGGCTTCCGGCGCCCAAGGCGGGGCTGGTGCAGGTCAGAAGGGAGCAGCTAGGGAAGCAAGAGGGGCCCAGGAGACGGTGCTGAAGCCCCAGGGTCTTCCAGCAGTGCCCCCGGCCACCCGTGGCTCTCCCAGCATGCCTGGGGGGCGCGGTGCTGGGTGCAGAAGAGCAGAATCACAGCATCAGTGTCTCATGTGCGAAGAGTCAAGAAGAGAGCGGTTCCTTGGCAAAATGCATGTGCACACACTCACACATACACAGATTTAGTTCAGGTGGGTCACCATACAGACAGCGGCCTCGCAGCAGCTGGGGATGGGTGAGGGGCTCAGCAGGCATTTCTGGGGGGCAGACGCTAGGTCAGCATCGGGGCTCAGCAAGCACACCCCCGAAGCGCGAACACAGGAAACGACAGAGACGCCAGGCCCCCAGCAGCTGCTGCTCCCTGTGGGCCCACTCCTCTCCCCGGAGCCTGCCGCGGGGGTGGCCAGGCCCTCCGCTGCTGCCCACGGGCCCTGGTGCGGTGAGTGTGTCTGCAGAGGGCCACGGAACTTGGATCCCAGGTACCAACCTCTTGTCTTTACTTGCTCTTGACGACTTCTCTTTGCTTGGCCTCATTTTTCCAGACAGATTCACTGGCATTTTCTCATCTATCACATCCGTGGCAAAGGGAATCTTTGAGGCCACCTGGGAAAACACAAGATGTTTTCAGGAATCCGAGGGGACACTGCCGTTCACACAAAGCCAAGCGCCCCGGGGGAATTGGGCTCGTCCTTCCTCTGTGAGGAGGCCCATCGGTGGCTGTCCTGAGGAGGCCACGCTCCACCCACTCCCGCCTTGGGCCTGGCCAGCCCCTGGCCGTGGGCGGGGCTCAGGGCGCAGAGGTGCCGGGCACGCCTGGAAGGTGATCCCTGCCAGAAGTTCTGTCCTCACAACAGACAGAAAACACACTACGATGGGCCCCAAGTCTCTCCAGTGGACGCCACTATATTTTCGATTGCTGAGTTTCAAGCTGATGCGTAAGCACCCCCCACAACTGACAAGCGGGGGGAAGGAGGAGTCGGGTCCTTACGTGTGTCATAAAATCACGGCTCTTAGATGAATGACATCACAGACCCGCACAAATAAACGTTGAAACCCAAGAGAAGTACTTCAAAGCTGGCTTTTTTGGATACGGCGCACTGTGATTCCAAGTGAAAACCCGCAGCGTCCAGGGGACGCAGGTGGAGAGGAGTGAGAGATCTCGAACACTCCCCCCACTTTCGGGGGTGAAGTCTGAGAACCAGACTGATCTCTCCCCACCTCAGGGGGCTTTAGACCCGTGTGTGTGTGTGTGCGTGTACCTGAATGTACCTATGTGTGCACCTGTGTGTATTTGTGCCTCTGTCTGCACGTGTCTGTGTACCTGCCTCTGAGGAGGCATGCCCCTTAGGGTGTTAGAAGGTTGGGCAGAGGGGAGGACAGGGCACGCGCAGGTGTGTGGAGGGGAAGGTGAGGCAGGTGCTGAACCTCTCCTCCGGGGGCTCCTCCAGCTGGAGTCTGGTGGGATCAATGTAGCGCTTACCTAGACGGTGCCTGCAACGGTCTCGTCTGCCACGGCACCTCTAAGTGGATTACCAGGGCCTGTCTGGTCATCACATGCCTGACCCTTAGAAGACGCTTAACACCCCAGGCGGGGGGGGGGGCAGGCGGAGGGGAGGGCGGGAGCTGGCCCACTTTTACATAACGAGGACTCTCTTAAACGTTATTCCAACAGGAAGAGAAGGACACATGTAAATTTAGTAGGTATTTTTTAAAGTCAGACGTGCAACTTAATTTTTTTTTAGTATAAAAGTACGTTACTTGGAAAGAAGTCCCCAGCCACATTTTACTATCTGTACAAAACACACAGGAGGAAGACTTCCCAGACACCCAGTCCTCTGCTGAGAGCAAGGACCAGGGGCAGGGTGGGAAACAAGGTGGCTGGGTGGCGCCCTGTCGTGTCCCGCGCCCTGCTGGCCCACAGCCCTTCTGCACGGGGACAGAGCCTGACGCAGCCATTTCTTGGGGACGACACGCGGGGCCGGCTTTCACTGGTACGCAGTCACCTTGCAGAGGACAGCGCAATCCACAGATGTGTGTGTGTGCAGGTGCCTGTGATCGGACTGCTGCTATCAAAGCACAAATTACCAAAAGCTCAAAGAAATTCGCATTTTTAACTTAAAGAGCTACTTCCCCATGCTGTAGCAGCCTCCGTCCCCACAGTCTGTCCCACGTGGCCCTGCCGAGTGGCTGGTTGAGGGCGTCGCCCCCACAGCTCCCAAGCTCCCATCCTGCTGACCGCTGTCAGCTTTCCCCTTCTGGGGACTGCCCCTTGCCCACTTTTCTATCGGATTCTTTAATTTAAAAAAGTCTATTTGTAGTCATTCGTCACAGATAGTAACCTTATGTCTCAGAACACGTTACAAATAGGTTCCTGTATCTTTTGACTTTATGGTATTTTAGTCCATCTAGAAATTTCAGTTTTAGGAAGTTACAATTTTCTATTTTTAGTTTCAGAGCTTCTGTATTTCCTATTTGATTTATGAAATTTTGTGTCATTCTAGGTTATACAAATACTCTGAAGTTTCCATGCTATAAAATACAATAGTGACTGTGTACAGTACCTCTATGTGGTTCACAAATTATACATCACAGGATACCCTCCTTCTTACAGAGTATCAAGAAGTCATATTTCCAGCTAGAACTAACCACGTGCAAGAAGTTAGCTCCAGCGATCCCACCTCCGAGAACTGAACGCACGGACTGGAACAGATGTTTGCACCCCCGTGTTCCCAACAGCATGGTTCACGGACAGCTGGAAGGGGCCCGAGCGTCCACATGGATGAAGGGAGGAAGGGAGGAGGGTCTCAGCCTTGCGAGGAGCAGCCCCGAGGGCCTGATGCCGAGTGAAAGAAGCCAGACACGGAAGGACCAGCACTGCGTGCCCCACCTTCGTGAGGTCCCCGGGGCCGGCACAGTCAGAGACGGAGACGAGACGGCGGGCGCCGGGGCGGGGGAGGGGATGGGGAGCGAGCTTCCGTCCGGGAGGATGAGAGTCGTGGGGCCGGAGGGGGGGCTCGCTGCACAACACGGTCAGCACCGACACTGCAGGAGGTCAATGGCTGGGGGCTTGCTCCTGGCTCGGCTCCCACAGCTCACGGAACCCCCACGTCCTCGCCCACCGTGGGCTGGCTTCTCGCATGTGCGGCAACGCTCCACCCAGGAGCCCACCGAACTCCATCCTGACACCAGGGGCAGAGGGTGGCGCAGGCCCCCCAGGCAGAGGGCTCGGCCCCTCAGGGCCGGCCTGCCCCCTATGCTGCTGGCCGACCGGCAACCAAGCAGGGCTGCCACCACCCCGCGGGGTCGATAATTCGCCAGAGTGGCTCGCGGAACTCCGAGACACAGCTGCTCACGCGCACCGACCCAACACAGAGGCTGTGACTCGGGAACAGCTTCCGGAAGAGCTGCACAGGACGAGGTGCTGGGCAGGGTGCGGAGCCGCACACCCTCTCTGGTGACCAGCCACGTGGCCAGGCTATGGAGGGCCCACCTTGTGTCCCCAGTCTGCATAAACTCAGCTGTGCTCCCCGGGGCTCGTTATGAATAACAAGACACGCCACCACCCCAGGTCCCATGGGGTTTTGCAGCCTTGTGGGGACAAGGGACAAACGTAGTTCTCATTAGGCCATGGCATGCTCTCACAGGCCAGCGTGAGTCTCATTTGCTCTCTCAACCTGGGCTGTTTTAACTTGTAAGAATTTCTTCCAGACACTCGAGTCAGTAGGTACCACGCCAACTCATCCTTCCCCGTGGCCACAGGGGTAACCCAAAATTGGGATACAATTTACTTAGAGCCACCCCATCTCCTGGCATTTAAACTGTTTCCAATTTTTTGCTATAATAAAGCTCTGAAGGCATTCTTAAGAATGTCTACCTGTGCAAGTCTTGTTCCTAAAGTGGCGAAACACGGATTTTGAATGTTTACATGACAGAGGGGACAGGACACATACCATGAAGACACGGAGCACAGAACACGTGGCCCACGACACAGGGGGCAGAGGACAGCCCACTCCCGAGTGAGGGGACAAGGTAAGGGCGGGGAGTGTGGTCTCCTCCCAAGTCACTGTGGCTTTGCCGTCGCTCTAACAGTTTGCAGAGAACACAGGGGTCTGGGTCCAGAACATGTGTGAGAGGACCAATTGCTCTCCTGTCTCCTTTGTAAGAAGCGCAGGTGAGGGAACAAGCCAATGGATTCCGTGGGAAAGGCCACAGTCCCTGCCCCACCTGGCGCTCTGAGGACCTGGGATCCCCACCACACTGGCTTCCAAAATGTGCGTGTCCTCCCATAATTCTGCACGTGGATAAAAAGGCTCCATTGTTTTTTTTTTTTAGGGTAACAAACCATTGCTTTGTTTAAATGGACAAAGGCAACATGGGCATCATGAGGTTCCTGACAGGAAGGCGCCAGTGGGTCCCCCTGCTGCAGACCAGAGCCCGCCTGGAGGATGGCAGGCACAAGTACGCGGGAACACCTCTGCGGGCCTCCCAGTGTCCCCCAGGAATGGCCCGGCCGCCAAGGGGGAGCAGCATCACAAACAGGGACCAAGGGGGGTGGGCGCCATAACCTGGGTATGCCGCGCAGGGAGAAAGCACATCCCTTCTGTGGCTTCTCACCCCAGATGCAAAAGCTCAGCCCAGTCCTAGAAGCCACCCGACAACGTAACTGATCTGCACACTTGGAAGCGCACGGCGGGTGGACACAGGACCGGGGGAGGCTGTCCTGGACGGCCCGGCGAATCGGGCCACCCTCCTGTGAACAGCAGGTCTGTGCTGGG